GAGTGCTGCTGGAGGTACTACCGCGTGGAGGCGCGGCAGCAGGAGTCGGAGATCCTGCGGCGGCCCTGGCTGCAGCAGCTGAGGTGCCTGTTGGCGCGAATGTGGCCGCCGACTGTCGGCGGCCGCTGCGCGTGCCGCTGCGGCGGCGGCAGCTCCTGGGCAGTCTTTATACAGGCGCGCTGGCGGCCGCGGCGCTGCCGCCAGTATCGACCTCTTGTTTTGCAATATCACGTCGTGGATCCAGTTTTGATTGTTTCTTTCCTGCAGAGCATCACCTCGACCCCGAGAGGGCGAAGCTGGCGAAGAGGAGGGCCCGCCGGCTGAAATGGCGACCCACTTCATCCCCGCTACCCCTTCCCCTTGGAAGGGCGAACGCACGGCGGGGGCGGGCGCCGTTGTTTCCCGAGGTTGAAGTTTTCAGCGTTTCCTGTCCACGGCTGGGTCCGTGACGGACCTGGGCCTTGGTAGCCTCGGGTTGTTTTTGGAGCTGAAAACGGCGCAGGCCGCGATCGCTGTAGGAGAAGTGGATTTGGTGTAGGGCCTGACCGTCTGTGGAGAGAACATCGCACGACTGCGCGGAATCCCGGAGTTCTTGGGCTCGTTGTCGGCGCCATGGCATATGATGGGAGATTTCAACGTTCCAGCTAGTGGTTTGGATTTATCTGGTTTCCCTCAACTCGCCCGTGGACGCGTCTTGGCCCCGTCTCTGGTGGGGTTTTCGTGCAGTCAGGGCCGTGGGTCGTTGATCGACTATGCTGCGGCCTCCGAAGAGGTTGCCAGTTTCGCGCGCGCGACCAAGTCCACGCCTTCGCCTTTCAAGACTCACGCTTGCAAGCAGGTATCGGTGGATCATCCGCGGTTGAGCAGAAGTTAGGGAGACGAGTGAAACCTAGCTTTTTTCCTGATTGCCCTGGCCCTGATTTGCCGCGGGGGGGGGGGGATATTGATTCGCGCGGGGGGTCCTGAGTCGCTGGGGGCCCCGTCGCATTATGAAAGTAATGTCTTACCCCATGTGCGCGACCACCTTTCTGATCATGTTCCGGGGCAGTATTTGCCGCGGGGCCGCGCCGCTGAGATGGCGCTGCTATCTCGCGCCTGCGCAGTGCCGATGGAGCGCAGGGGGCGTCGTATCCGAGGTGGTTTTCTTCATTTCCGGCGCTCGAAGATTGGCGGAGGGGGTTTCTGTGGCCGGAGCTCCCAGCTTCCAGCCCTGTGCTTTCGGGCTCGCGTTCCCCGGGCCCCGTGGGGGCATCGTCTTTGCATGGCTCGTGAATCCTGGGATAATGTTTGGGCATGGTAGAGCGTTGTCGAGTTTATCGGGCCAAGTCCATTCCAATTGGCTCCCTGGTCTTCGTCGGCCCGCTGAGTGGATAGCTCAGTTAGCGGCTGTCCCCGATTATGTTGGTGATCTGGGCGTTCTTTCCGACTCGGTAGCTCACGCGGTCGGCCAGGCCCGGCATGCTGCTCGCTCAGCTTCTGAGGCCAGCATGAATCAGTGGTTTCTCGAGGCTCTGCCTCGAGGCGCTAGACGGGCGCGCTCGTGGCTGAAGTGCGCTCGAGGATCTGATCTCGAGCATCTTGTCACAACTGCCGAGGTGAGGCCTGGGGGAGTTGACGCAGCATCACCAAGATTTCTGGAGTCAGTTTTGGAAAGCCCCCCCCCTGATAAGAGGGAAGCGTAGTCGGGCGTTTTAGACCCGTTGCGACCGATGGCCTTATCGTCGGCGGAGCCCCTGGATCCCTTGACCCCTGGAGAGGTGTCTAGAGCTGCGAGGTTGTTCGAGGCTGACGCTGCTGTGGGCATCGATTGTTGGGCCCCTCGCCTGCGCCTGTCGGCGCCCTTGCCTGGCGCTGCTGTGGGGGTCTACTCTGATCTCCTCAATCAGCGCGAGCGCTCACTGATGCAGCCCGCCCAGGCCGCGACGGGCGTCGCTGCCCTTTTCCCCAAGGCTGCGGATGCGGAGCGCCCATGTGCGAGCGTCCTTCCCCGCGCCGCCTGCATTGTCGGGCGCGCGGCCGTCGCGTTGATGGGCGGTCTCGGGGGCGCGAGTATTATTGGGGCAGCGCTATGCGTGGACCCTCCGCCTTGCAGGCGGCTCTCAAACGCGAGATGGGGCATGGGATGGCCAGTTATTTAGGGGAGCTGTCTGTGGGTCTCTACTGGAATATTGGCAAGTTGTTTGACACGGTTGACCCTCTTCACCCTGCTGGTTTCGCAACGAAAATGGCTCATCCCGCCCACCTGTTGCGCCCGTGGCTTTTTATGCGCGAGGCGCCGCGAGGTCTGGAGGTCAATAGCTTCGCGTCCGATGTGTTCCCTACGGCGCGCAGGGTGCCCCCTGGACCTGTGCAGTCTATGTCGCGGGTCAAGATTTACCTCTATGATTTGATAGATTTTGCGCACGCCCAGTATCGCCCCGCGCCCACTTTTGCATGCGTGGACGCTATCACCCAGACCCAGCAAGGAGCATGGTCAGATAATGTCTCCAGCATTGCCTGC